GAGAGAGAGAGAGTGAGAGAGAGAGAGAGAGAGAGAGAGAGAGAGAGAGAGAGAGAGAGAGAGAAGATCAATAAGAAAATGTATTTCCAACCTTCGGACATCTCTTTAGAGGAGGAGGAAGGACAAAATGGGGCAAAATTGCATTGCAGTTCAAGACAACAAGAGAGCAAAGCCTCTTTGAATCTATTTCACCAGAATACCGATATAATCAGAGAGCTCTTTTGTTAAACACAAGGTCGACGTTGAAGAGTACACGGGTTGGTCTCACTTATCCCATGTGCAATTTATTTACTTCATGGCAATTAGAGTGTAGGTTGCTCATATTATCAGCTACCATTACTTATTTGCATGTCTGCGTGTTGCAGTTTTTGCAATAACTGACTTAACATGTGTTAGCAAGACTGTGTATGAGTCCACTAATATGTTTCCTTTTATTTTGTTGTTGTTTAGGTTTATTTGTGAAATGGGTTTATTTATTGATTTATTTTTCAAGTCTGGGTTTTCTTTTTAAATGATTCCATATATCATATTGTCATTGTGTGCCTTGTCTTTCATGTGCCCCTGCGGCAACACCCCTTAAAGCAGGGGGGTCAAACTCATTTCACATTGTGGGCCACATATAGCCTCTGTAGATGTAAAGTGGATGTAAGTGATTTAAATTATACCATACTCTGCTATAAATAACCAAAATCATGTCTTTCCTTTGTTTTGGTCTAAAGAAGCACAAGAACATTAGGAAAATGTTGAAATTTAATAAACAGATCTAGCGGATACTCCATGAATTGCACCTTGTTAAAAGTAGTCATTCCGTGTCTCTTATGAATTTTTTCACTTTTAAATTATCCTGTGGGCCTGATCGAACCTCCTTGTGGGACGGTTCCGGCCCGTGGGCCGTATGTTTGACATCACTGCCTTAAAGGGACAATAAAGAGTTTCTGAGTCTGAATCTTTTGATTCTGATACGAAAATGGGTATCTGGGGACAGTGGTAGGGTGAGTGGGTAAACTAGGTTACCACTCACTAAATCCAAAGTATGCAGTGTTGGTGGATGCTCTTGTTTATTCAATAATCTCAACTAAATATTTCTTCAAGGTTTGTCTGCCTTCTCAGTCCATTGAACCGACAGTCTAACTTTTCTAGCAAATAATCCTTTATCAACACTTAGCCCCAAGCGTCGGATGCCTCTTAATCCGCAGATTGAATGTGAGAGGGGACTTGTCATATATTTTCAGTCAGCAGGTGCTCTGTGTGCATGAATTCCAAAGCATAATAGTCCATGGTCTGCACGTTCTTTAAGTGCTGATGAAGATGGGCTCAGGCGGCGCATCCTCAGTACGTATGGATATACGGTATGCATGAGCCACAGTTCCTGCAGATGGGAATAATAACCCAGCGATAACAGCACCTGCAGGAACATCCATGTTGCTGATGCATTATAAATCATTCAAGCCATCTTTTTCAAGGCAATACCCTCTCGTAAATGTTGACGTTTCTCTGTAGAGCAAATGTTGTCGGATGATGGGGGGGGCCCTAAACTGCAGACATTGAAAATTGATCAGGCAAGTGTGTGGGAAGGTGATATCCCGGGCTCTACAAATTTACCCTTTGACGTTTGGTTTACAGCACTGTCATCGGAAGCCTTGCTGCCTATAGCTATATTTGCCTCTGTCCTTTTCCTTTTCTCTTAGTCCAGGGAATGTTTGGATCTATATTGGTCATATCTACACCAAAGGGAAATGGGGAAAATGCTGCATTGCAATAAGCACAACATGAATTTTTTATCATGTGACTATGTTCCTTTGGATGCAGATTTTTCTCTTTGTGTGAAGTTTAGTCTTGGGAATGGGACTGGGTGGAAATATGACAGTTGGTGGCTGCTACAAAATGTCATTACTGTTACACTGGTTTGAATCAGAGTTGGCTTTATGTGTCCCGAAATGTATTGTTGATTGATTTAAACTTACTTTTTACTTATACTTACTATACTTATACTTTTTATTTGTTCAAGCAAACCACATTTTTGAGATAGGCTCCGGTATTCCCACGACCCTTGTGAGGAGAAGCGGATTAGGAAATGGATGGATGAATGTTATCACTGTTACTATGATCATTATGATCATGATGATGATGATTATGATGAAGATGATGAAAACCTGACATATGAGAGAAAAAAAGGGCAAATAAGGAATCATACTCCCCCCGCAAAAAAAAAAAAAATCACAAAGTAAGATTTGCATCTGTGATTAAAAAACAGAGCAATGCTAATTATCAAACACATCATGACAAGTCATCATTAATTATTTGGTCCAATGGTGGCACTTGCAAAAACTCTTGTCACATTTATGTGAGCAGTTTTATGTCAGGACACAAAAGCTCCCCGGCAGTCAATAAATATGACGGTCTTAAAGTAGAAGGAAGCACACTGGTGAGCTGTCAGGAAACTGTCATTAATTCTCCTGTCTTCTTCTTTTGTAGCACGGGATAGAAGATCTGACAAGCGAGGAGAAAGGATCTCTCTCTAAGGAGAGGAACTGCAAAACTGTTTCTCATCCACTCCAAGCCACCGGAGCCCAGTATATCAGCCCATGATTGGCCTTCCCGTGGCCCGACTGCACGTCTAAGCTAAGGCAGAGGAAAGTTGTATGTTGGTGGCTTGCACTCGCTCTCGAGGACCATGTGGTTTTCGCCGAGGAGAAGTCGTACCCCCTTGCAGAACTGGAAAAGATCCCAGACTTCCCCCGGCATCATCTCGTCTTTGTGGCTATTAACTTTTTGCTGGTGCTTTGTGGCAGTGAGGGGTCAGAGCTACCACCCCACCGTCAACACCCAGTATGGCAAACTGCGAGGAGTGAGGGTGCCTCTACCCAGTGAGATCCTTGGGCCGGTGGACCAATATCTTGGGGTCCCTTACGCTGCCTCCCCGGTTGGGGAAAAACGCTTCTTGCCACCCGAGCCGCCATCGTCCTGGTCAGGGACTAAGAATGCCACCCACTTTGCTCCAGTGTGCCCCCAAAATATTCACAACGCTGTTCCAGAGATCATGATGCCCATTTGGTTCACCTACAACCTGGATATAATTACCACTTACATCCAAGACCAACACGAGGATTGTCTTTATCTTAACATCTATGTTCCGACAGAGGATGGTGAGTGTGTCTAGCAGTCAGGATGAAACCCCTTCTGTCTTCCCTCTCTCTCACTTCTTTTTTGTTGTTGTTGTTGTTTCTTTGCGCGAGCATGACCTGTTGTCTGGCGCATGCTATGTCTGTGTCAGTCATCTCAACTTACCGTCTTTGGTCTTTTCATCGACCCTCAATTTTCATGTCACACTTAAAGGTTCCTCTTTTGATGACTAAATGACTTATAATGACAACATTTGAATCAAAGAAGGGAGACATTGGGTTGTGCACTTTTCCTACCCTCACTGTCTTGACGGATATTAGTGACAAGGTGCTTGCCTCATAAGTGAATGATCTTCTCGTAGGTTGGTGAAATGCTCTGTCTGGTACATGAGAGGCCTGTGGCATCAGCCTAACCTATGTAAGACCCTTTACTCTCCTCTTGAAATGGAGATCTCATCAAAAAGCCACGCATTTTAGATTTGGTTGCTCTGAATGGCCCTTGTCAGGGCACCAATGGAAAACCGCACAGCAAAATAGGCTTGACCTATGAAGTGCTCACTCATTCAAATGATTCGAACTGACATCACTTCAATTTGCGGTAGCTCTAAATGGTGAAATCTGACCAGCGACTGCGTGGCCTGTAATGGGTCTTAAATAGAAGTGCATGTGAATATGGGCTTCCTGTGTCCCAGGATGCAGCAAATTCATTCCACCACTTCGGAATATTTCTGCAACGACCCCCACTTACTTTTTCAACAGGTCCTCTGTCGTTTCTTGTTGATGACTTGGGTGATGGGGTGGGCGATGGGGGAGGGGCGGCGGATGTCTGACAGATTTGTTGCATGTTACCTGCAATATTTTCCAGAGCTATCTGTTATTTTGGAGTATTTTTTTTTCCCATTCATTTTACAGTCAAAAGAATATCCAAGGAATGTGCCAGGAAACCCAACAAGAAAATGTGTAGGAAAGGAGGTAGGTAAACAACCCCACGTGAAAAGAAATGAAATGAAAGCAACAGAGGAGGGCGGCGCATCCTTCCAAAGCAGCCAATATCAGCGTCAACCAAGTCTCAAGTCAAAGTTCTTATGGGCATGAACGCAAGAGCCGCATCATCCTTGAAAACGAATGCAACAGATCAGCCAGCACTTGCGCTGCCTTGCATGAGGCTGCGCATGCATGCACTGGTGTACCCGGGAATGGAAAAAATAAACAGGTCACAAAATAAATGTTGGAGCTTTGACAGGCAATCAATGTCTAAGAATAACCTGCATCTTATTTTCGATGTGATTGTATATGTCCTTTATTTTCATGTTCACCACAACTGTGGATGAAATCAGAGGCAAGAGTGAGAACTGCTGAAATTAAACTGTCAAATTTGAGCTTTCTATGCAAAGTAGTGTTTCAAGTCTACCTCAAAGTAAACTGATAGCACTTTGGACGCAAGCCTTTTTCAAGAATTTGTCCTGCAAGACACGTAAAAACAAATCAGACTTGGCCGTAACTACCACTCTCGAAAACAGACGTTCTCAGAACTGCTTATTAGGATATTCTTCCAAAGGAATGCCAGGTGAGCAAACCTGATATATTCCTCCGACTCACTGTTATGAAATTGTTGCAGATGATGGTGTTTTTGAAAGAATATATCCCAATTGAGTCAAAAAGTGCACTGCTTTCAAATGTTGATTCAACTAGTGTAAAGGAGAACAGCAAACAAAAGTTGAGAAAACTCGTCTCTGTGGTGCGTCGAAAGAAGGAAGACTCCACAGCGATTTCGATGGAAAACAATTGATCACTTAATCGATTTAATTTTCCTTTGTTTTGGTCAAGGAAATGTAATCAAATTTCCATCCCAGCACGGCACATCCAGAGGCAGTGTTTCCACGCGGATGCTCAAGAAACCTGACCAGCTCCCTCTTAAAAATGTCCAGCGCATGAGAATATAATAGAATGTTTAAATATCCATAACATTTCCTCCCGAATGCTCATGAGATCATGTTGCCTTTCAATGCATTTTTGTTTTTACTGTTGAAATGGTGTTATTGTGGGATTTCACTGGTAATAAAGCTTTAATATACCCTTGCGGTCAAAGATACAAGAGCAATGATAGATGGAAAGACTCCAGTTTCACTTCAAGCGCCTGTGAAAATCACAGTGTTTTGTAAAATCACACGGCTAATTCCCAAAGCGTGCCCTACAGGACTTAACAATTAGCCTTTAGATTGATACAGAGCAGATCTTGCTCCACATAAATTTGGTTCCCAATTTCCATAGAAGCAATAGGCAGCGTGTGGCCTCACTCCGTGCACCCATACAGTCTACTTTGGTAAACCAATTTTATTTGAGACAGGCCCTCCAGGCACTTCTGCTTCAGAATTAGTCCCAGATGTAGAATATGCACAGAAATATCTCTTTAATATTACCGTTCCTCTTGATTTTTTTTTTCCAATTATCTCCCTTAGGTTCAGTAATGGGTAAATGGTTTTATTGTACGTTTCGTGTATTAGTTTTCTGACACAATGATAAGAGAAAAGCCGGTTTAACATAGCCCCCCTGCTGCCATAAACACGAAGGGTGTCACTTACTCTCAAACCCTCGTTTCATTTTAATGACACTTTTTTTTTTTTTAAACAAGTATGTCGTCTAATCTTAGCTTATGTTGAATTAGTGGTGCTAATGAGGCAGAAATTATCCTTCTTAGGTAATGCAGGAATCTACCTACATTACCCGACATGCTTTTAGCTTGCTAAATGGTTGTCTGAAATATTTACAATCAAAACACTGCATTTCAAATGAAACTGTTATTCCAATTGTAAGATTTGAAGCAAACACTAAAAATATGACAAATGGGGGAATTCTGTGGTTGTGTTTAAATGGTTGCAAAGCTGGAGGCCTGGAGTAGAGTCATAGTCAGTGCTAATAACGTTTTAATTCCCAATTTTACGTTATCTATAAATATGATTCCCCTGGAGGAAAGCATGATTAATCCTCAGAAATAAGGTAATGTGGTAGCTTTTTCCCCAGCATCAGCCTTCTTGCCCAGCATGAAGTACATTTTGTGCATAGTAATGCTCATCAAATGAGGAAAAATAACCACGAACCTTGAGAAACACACCACAAGAAGACAGTTGTATGTTTAGTTGACTTGCTGCTTTAGGATGCCTCTTCATATAATAAGACTTTTATCATTATTATTATTATTTATGTATTTTAAAGCATAGGCATTCACCTTGCGGTCCCGCAGAGGTTGTTCCACATTTTTCCGATTTGTCTAAAGAATAAAAAATTAACAAGTACAAAAAGTTCAAAAATAAATGTATGCCTTCTCTCATCATACATTATCAGCGCTGCTCTTTGGTAAATTTGATGAAATTTGTCTCTTTGGTGTTGACTCAGATTACACCTTCTTCGTTTGCTTTAATAACGAACTACGTGTCTTAAAAATCTGAGCAGGTTGTCAATGAAGTTCTGTGGAGGTGGTCAAATGTGCTAGCGAAGCACTGTAGTCTCCCTGTTCTCCCCTTCTCGCTTATAATGCTCACGCAGGGCCTTTAGGGCACCTGAGACGGCGGCCATGTTTTCAACAGTGTATTTTAATGCCCATTTTGAAACATTACAATAAAAAATGTAAATAGAAACAGAAACAAAAACCTTGTAACCAGGCAGCATTTACGGTACATCTTACTTTAAGAGCCAGCAAAATTAATGCGACCTGAAGGTGAATTTACTGTAAGTCAACCCCCCCACAGGAAGTGAATGAGATTTTGCCCAAAGACAGCTGAGATAGGCTCCAGCACGGCCTCGATCCTTGTGAGAGTAAATAGATTGGAAAATGGATGGATGAGTGTGTGTGTGTGTGTGTGTGTGTGTGTGTGTGTGTGTGTCTCTATAAATATATATATATATACATATATGGAGAGAGAGAGAGAGAGAGACACACACACACACACACACACACACACACACACACACAGAGCATTCCATCAGTACTGATGGATTATGTTCATCGATCCGACATTGACCGACACCCATTTTGCTGGCGAATGATGGGAAACTTCAAAAAACTGACGGAATAAGCACGAATGGAAGTGAGTTTTCATCCGTCACCGGAATCGTCACTAACCAGGTCAGTCCTGACGGACCTCCTGAGTCCATCACTGATAGACACCTGTTTCGCTGATAACTGATGGAAACACGCGTGTCTTGTGTGCGTTTGTTCGCGGGGGTGATGACTCTGAGGTTGCTTCGAGTGGGGCAGAGGAGGGGTTCCTCCTCCTCCTTTAGAAAAAAATAAATAAATGACCTACATGTGGTTAGGTTGGCTGCTAAATCTCAGTTACCATTCTCCGAGCCGTCCTGGCCGGTGTTTGGTTCCAGATTAACTGGCACCCGATTCCAGCTTTGGCTGTTCGAGCAACGTCAGTCCATCAATTTTGTGTTGTCACAGGGTACATGGAAATTGTTCAACAGCATACATTTTTCATTTATTCAGTACCCCCCCCCCCACACACACACACACACAAACACATACACCGAAAGGTCAACGTTTGCTGAAAGAATTACCTGTCTTACAGGAAACGCTTTAAAGACGAAGACAAATTTGGGCTTCGCTTCCGCCTGAACGTGATATCAGTCCCCACGGCTGTCTTCTCAGCATCGCACAGGATTGAGCTTCAGTCAACGTTGCAGTAGTGGGATATGCAACAGGCTAGTTTATAATGACATTGTGGAATTAACAATGGCTCACTATGTCTCCCATTTCAGTCTACCTTGCGCTAGGTATACAGTTTACAGTATTTAAAATGGAACTCTGTCAAAGTTGACATATTTTGATACCATCAAAAGGCCTTCACGGCAAAGAAAATAGAAGAGTGGAAGAAATGCGATTTACTGTTCGAGGGCATCACAGGGCTTTAAAAATAATGTTTTGCCAGTAACGTCACTCATTATGTTGCTTTTATGCAGCATTCCATTACGGCCTAAATCTAATGTTGTGTTTTGCTTCTTTCAAAAGCTGTCTTTGATGTAAAGTTAAACGACTATCGGACAAAGTATCGTAAACAATAACATGATCTGCCTGCAATTCATATCTCTGTTGATGGAAGCATTGAGACCAAAAAATAAGTTCTTTTATTCATTATGCCGACGTATGTTTTAAATGAACGGACGGATTAATCGGTTATCAGAATTAGTTTCTACCCCATATCAGATAAGCTTTTCACTGGACAACAGTGGCTAATGTTTATGTCTTACCACAGGGGTGGCAATCTGAATGGATGCAGGCAATGTAAACCATGTCATCATCTCCGTAGCTCACCTTCTTCTATCAAAAGAACAAAAGAAAGAATAATATAAAACTTTGGCCGTATTAAGGCAGAGAAAAAGTATAAGTCACCTGCCATGAACTAGCCGCACATCTTGATTGAGTTTGAGGGTTTGGAGACATGAAGCTGCAATTAAGTGTAATAAAAACATGCAGCTTAATCGTTCAGGGGAAGGGAAGCAATTAGTGCTCGTATCACTCAGTATTCACATGATATGAAGGCAAAAACAAAGGATGACCAGATGAGCCATTGATTTACAAACTAATGCCAGTTGGGATTTTTGGTTCAGACACTTAAAACCTTTCCTGATGAATTCATTAATGCACTGATCCAAACATTAATGCGGACTGAATGATGGGGAAATGAAAGACCAATGTGTCAGGCTGTATAAGAGGGAGGAGAGACACTAACTCACAGCTTATCTCATTGAAACACCTCCACTTACTCTCATATTCCTGGTGACTTGAAGCGTGCAGAAATTCGCTCACCAGTTTTCTGAAAATTTAAATTGGTGATAAAATTGGGATCCGGCCAGCTGGGGACAACAAATATGACATTACGTTTTTCTTTTGCTCTAAGGGTGAGCAGTGTTTGCGGCTGTTCCAATTTGAAAGGACAGGCTTTTCCTTTAAAAGAGTCTCACAGGAGTAA